CATTTACAAGCATAAACTACAGTCCAAACTGATAATGCATTCCACCAGGATATATTCGGTAGTTTATGAACATTTGGTATATCCTGTATGGCTATTTGAAGAGAATGCACCTGTTTCTTCGCTAAAATTGGTCATGTTGCATATGTTCCGCTTGGGAACGTAGTACGGTCAATTCTGTATGGTAAACCACAATTTGTTTGCCTGAAATCTTCGGAGAAATTGGGAACAAGAGAAGGCGATGGGTTATTCGCCGTACAGGCCTGACTTGGGTTATCACCGTACATGCCTGACTTGGAACCAATGACTAATTTTAATTCCAAGGATGGTATTGCTGAAACGTTCAAAACTGCTGATTGGGGCATGTTTCAATCTGAGTGGAAAAATGTATCGACTACTGGACAGCAATAAAAAAATTTCGATGTTTCGTATTCGAGTTTTATTGTTAGGGCAGAAATTGATATATTATGCCGTATTCTAGGGGCACAAGACATATTCAATACATTTATATTGAAAGTTCTTTAAAAACCTCCATTCTGAATGTTTTCCGTAGAATAATAACAGGAGGACTTCAAAATATTTAAAATTCATTTATAAGATTGGATTTGTCCACAAGAGAGGTCTGTAGCATCATTTTCGTTCAAAGAATCTCATTTATTTAAAAATTAAAATGGTTTTTCGGTCTATAAAATATTTACAAAATATTTTTATTTTCATAAGGCAAATATTTGTCGAAGACCTCATATAGAATATATATTCTCTCTATTGTCAACAACTGGACCGTTTAAAGATAGCAATTGACCAGAAACAGTCAGAATTGGCCAACAGGAGAGGATTCGTGCTCCACCAGGACACCTCTAGGCCACACACATCTACAGCGACTTGTCAGAAACTTCGGGAGCTTGGATAGGAAGTTTTAATGCATCCGCCATATAGCCCGGACTTGGCACCAAGCGATTATTATCTTGCATTGAATTTTTTTTAATTACAAATAATTACTATGCAGGGTGGATTGTGAAAATGACTACTAGAGTTTTTGCAAGTAGAGAGCAGGACTTCTATGAGAGAGGCATTATGAAGTTATTTTTTAAAATGGCAACAAATCATACAACAAAACGGTGCATATTTGGTCCAAATCCGACATTCCGATGCATGTTAAATAAAGTCCTATAGTTCATATATAAATGATTGATTTCTTTTTACCCAACCTAATTTGGCATTCCATATTCTGGTAGGGCAAACAATGGCTACGCAAAATGTTTTAACATAGTTCCATGTTTTAATAATGAAAAGTCCTAGCCCATTTGTCCAACCTGAGTGCCTGTAATCGCGGGTATCATTTTCTCAAACATTTTACAATTACACTGCATTCATAAAAATGCATACTCATAGAACAAGAATTTAGCCTCACATCTCCATTGATCAGAATTAAATAAAGGTGTTTCCTTTACAAACGAAAACTTTTTGCAAAATGTAAATACTTGGTCTGTGATAGAAGTCCTATACGTCATATATAGTAAGAAGTCTTGATCTACTGGCATCCCATTAAATGTTTTTTTTTTTTTTAAATAAATTTAGCAGGTCTTCTATTGGTGTAGCATAAAAACCCCATTGTATATGTCTAATAAAAATAAATCGAACTATAACTATATATTTAAAATTTCTAAATAATAAATTATAATTGATAAATTCGGTGTTTGTGTTAGTTAATTACTTATAGCATGTTTTCATTTAAAAGCTACAAATTGTTTTCATTTCGGTTGTTTTATAAATAACTTTTACATTAACTACATACATAGACTCATTTGCTTATACACGAAAAAGCTTTGTAATATATATTTTAATTTGTGTCATTTTTGGTTTGGAACAACATGCAATTTTAAAATGCGTTTTATACAGTGAAACCTCGACGTTCTTGTATGAATGATTTTTCTTGGATATATTTAAAATTTTTTTTTTAATAAATTTGATAAAAAAAATTACTAAATTTTTAACAACCGATGACCATTAATTCATATCAATCAATAAATCAGTCAATCGATTTTTCATTAAAAAATGTATTATAAAATAATTTCAAAATACTAGAGTTTCCACCACCGGTTTTTTTTTGTCTGCCAAACGCATTTTACCTTCGACCTTAAGAGATTTCACTGTTTTGTAAATGAATACTATTTTTTTGGAAATATATTCTTTGTTTCAATAAGCAATAAGCGACGAAATTTCTCACTAAAGGTACTAAGTTTATATTTTTTTAATAAAATATTAACAAAAAGTTTTCCACTTTGTAAAGTAAATGCATTGTGTTTTTAGATTCATTAGGTGGTGATATTAGTTGTATTTTTTAACTACATTGGTGGTTGTTTTTTTTTTTTTAATTTAAATATAATATAATTTTTTATATTTAGTTTCAAATTTCCGTGCATTAAATTTTCTTTGTAAAATTTGCTATCTACCAAGAAAATGTTTACTAAGAGTTGGAAATGCAGATATTAAATAATTTCGAATGTGATTCTAACACAAAATAAATATCAAAGGGCCATATATATATATATATATATATATACATAAAATGTAATAAATGTAGTAAACGTTATTTATTTCAATATTATCAACATATAAAGTTATTTTCAAGAATATATACTATTTTTACATATATCTGACTATTCCTTGCTAGAACTGATAAAAATTTCTAAATTTTTTTGAGAAGAAAATTTTTAAATTTTGTATGGATTTGAGTAAAGCATGCGTAATTTCCAAATTGATTAATGGAAATAGTTTTTTTGTCAAAAGCCTAATGGATTTGGGTAGGTTTCCGACGTATGTATTATACGTCGGAAATGTATGTCATTTACGTCACTGTTTCTGACAGGCCATCTCTGGCCATATATATATAACAATTAAAGTGATACAAAATTACATTTATTGAAATATAGATTTTGCGTAAGGACTTCCTATTCAGAAAATCTTCCTATGGAATGATTTACGAGTAAATGTACTGTACTAGATTGTTTACCTGCAAATACCTTCAAATTTGTATAAGAAATATTCAGAATTCTCTAAGGGAACATCATATTGAAAACACAGTTCACGTGTCTAAAGATTTACTTTTGAAGCACTATCCGATTTAGAAGCATGTACTATTAAAGATAACTTTCTTAAGTCCATCTGTTAAAATCGCGATATTTTCGACAGCTATGATATTTTTAACATACAAATCCTAGGATATCTTTATACTAAATTCAAGACAATCTGGTATTGCATGTGAAATATATCGGTCCATGCTTTTGTATAGCCCATTTTACAGAAGTGGCTACAAGTAGTCTTTCCTGGTTCTTGGAGGGTAGAAATATGAGATTGGGGCATAAGATTACTTCCCGAGTTCAGTCTAAAGTTTTTTTTATCGATGCAAATTGCATTTTCGGGTTCGTTTGCATTATAGGGCCGTGTTACGGCCTCAGGAAAAATATATCCAAGTCATGTGAGCCCATGATTTCACATAGTTCCCATATAATGTTATAATACCACTTTGGGCATTTTGAAGATTTTCCAACCAAATTGGTTGCAACTAGACTAGATTTGCAGACAATTTTCAATGTAAGTCGATAATGGATTCCATCTAAAGTCCCCGCGTTATTTTAGGTCGTATTTTTCAACCGCAAAAATGGCCACGTTTTTTACGTAGCCTCACAAAACTGACATATCATTTTTTTTCTAACTGATATATCAATTATAAAGGGTACCGACCGATTTTAGGTATTTTAAATGAACAGATCATCGTCCATGATATAAAATGTTCGGCTGCGTGGAATTTCATGACGTTTTTACTTGCTTGAGATCAAGTAAAAGATTAAGAGGCAACTGTACTAGGCCTTTTTATATTCAACCATTTAACGCCATAGAAAATATTCCAACAGCAGTGCTTTGTAGAGTATGTGCAGTCGATCCAAATTATCCATATATGTATTTCACGAATAGACCACATTATGGATTAAAAGTCTTAGTATAATATCGATAAATCGAAAATCCCAATAACATAGAAATCATCTTAATGGAAATCGTTATTTAAATACTTATTGCTATAATAATCTTATTGTATGCATCATTTTCGTATAACCTCTACACAAGTTTCTCTTCCCCATTGATGGAATATGGAAGCCTATTTATAACTAAGAAATCTTTTGAAAATCCATTTTGAAGACCTTAAGTAAACAGCCTAAATTTCCCCTATTCAATATTTCGAAAACATCTCCGGACAATTTATATGTAGCCTTTTCCATACTTGAAATTTTAAATTTGGGTTTAATTGGTATAAAATTAGATATATCCAGATTAATCATGAAAAATAAGTAGTATTTTTAGTCCTAAAGTCTATGAAGAACGTATTTTTTAATATGAAAAACCTTCGGAATTTTTTATGGATTTTAGAACCTTGTTAATCTTTTTTTCCTTTATATATTACAGGTTACTGACTCGGAATAAATGTGGGGTAAGTGAAAAATCATTTAATTTTTTTAAACAAATAAATGAATGTTTAAATATACAAGGTCGAAATAAAAAGTATTTACATATAGCATTTAAATTTTACATTCAATATTTCACAGTTTTGGGATTTCAACATGGATCCCATCCTATATCAAAAGTAATAATATTGTGATCCACATAAAAAATATAAATATCTGCATTTCCAACTCATTTTATAAAACAAAAAAACAAAACATATGACTTTTTTCCAAATTAACTAGCTATGTAATTATATATCGATGTTTGTGTGTGTTTTTTTAAACAATAAGCAGTATACCAATTAAATTAATTTAAAAAATGTGAGTAATAACAATTAAATTATTATTATTTTTTTAAATATTTTTTTGTGTTTAGTTTTACAAGTTAGTATTTTTTGTATGTTTGTTCGTTTCCAACTACTCGTGATGGTGGTGGTGATTTTTCAATAAGTCATTATTTGTTAGTTATGTTAGTAATCGTTAAAAGTTAGTGACGATGGTGTGTGTGAATGATCGTTAGTCGTTTGAAATTCTTAACACGGATAAAAATTAGTGGAGCTTGTGTCTCTATCATCCAGATTCTTTGTTAATTGTTATGTGATGGACTTTCGGTGAGACGGTGCTTGGCGCGTGCTTTGCTGTGTGATGCACGGCGGAGAGAGCTTACACTGCCGCCAAATTCATGATCTAATGATTCCGATGAGAAAGCTACAGATACAGAGATTCCGAATGAGAAACGAAAGAAAAAAAGAAAAAGAAAAAAGACATAACAACTTTACAACAATTGCTCAATCGAGAAACAGCAACAACAATACTTGGGTGGGGTGGTACTATTTGCAATGGGATGTTGTGGGAGTGGGTGGGGAGGATTTTTATGGTGGATTTGCTTTGCTTGGAATTTCGTGCTATATACAAATTTATTTTCTACATTTTTCGAATTTCTACAAATGATGGAAAAGTAAGCAAAAACCCAAGCTTTATGCCAAAATAAATAAACCAATTCTAAACAAACTGTTTCGTTAGAGAACAATTCAAATTGAATATTAACCTTTATCCGTTGGTGACCCTAAAGTAAGACTGCTGAGACTGGAACTGAGATTATAGGGTCGCACCAAAGGAACCATGGGCGCTTGTTGTTCATCTCCCGGCAGACATGTCTCCACCATGGCCTCCAGACAATTCACAAACAACTCCGAGGATTCACCCATAACATTGTATTTGGTAAAGGGCCCCGCAAAACGCCACAAACCACCAAAACCACAACTTTGCAGGAAATGCAATTGCTGCTGCGAGGGATCTTCACTGGCCAACATATTTTGGATGATACTTTGTACTGAATTCAAGACAACCTGATCGTGGGATACCGACAGAATGTTGTTGATTTTTTGGTCCAATAATGAGTGGCTGTCAAAAAAGGAGAAGAGATCGAGAAAATTTTGGTATTCTCAAATTAGAGAAAAAATATCGATTAATTCACTTACATGACTGGAAAAACTTTCGGGAATACCACAGATCCCTCGGCAAGATATTGATAGAGAACGCGTGTCTCATTCTCATCTGATGTGTATTTGACCAGTGTTGCCAATACCGTCAATACCAATGCCTGTATTGATAGATCGGGCAAAACTTCTGGATCCAACAGAACATTTGATTCATTTGACACCGAGGTGCGTGAACCACGTTCCTGTTTCAAAGGGAAAAATATACGAGAAAATTAGATTTATGTGAAAAGGGATATGGAAAGGAACCCTAAGAGTGTCTAAGCTACTTAAATTAGAAAAAAGGGATAAGTAATTAATTGTTTTAATTGCATTATTATAAATTGGTTTATAGTAAGCATGATCGATAACTTCGTGCATTAACCAGTTATTATGTGAGGTGTAATATGTGCTACATTAATATAGAAGTATGTGTGTATGTGAGACGGTGCATGGTGCAAAAATAAATGACGTATAAAGTGTTATACCAACGTTGTATGTGTCTTGTGGTTATCATAAATTTATACCCACGTTGTATGTGTCTTGTGGTTATCATAAAAATGTTCACAATTCTGAGATATATAACAAACCCTATTTAAAGGGTACTTCTCAAAACCTATCAAAATGTGGATTTTAAAAATATTAATTTTACAGAAATTTTCCGGTTTAGAATTAAAGATTATAATTTTCAGGGATTATCCGAAGATTGGATTTTTTTAACCCTACGGTCAATAACTAAAAAAGTATACGTAGATCAATAACCGTGGTACATTTGTACCCATCCAAAGATAGCTCTGTAACTCATTAAAATATTGGACTATCGTGAGGTTTTTTGTTTTAAATTAGTCTATACGGATTTTTGTAAAACTTTATATATACATTAAAATAATATATATTTAATCCCATGCTTAAATGATAATCTATCTAAAACAATCATAGTAAATACGTTATAGCTTTCGAATGGGTTAAGCTTTTTTAATTATTTATTGGGATCTTATTTAGGTGTTCCTCAACCCCCTGCAAATTTTTGTGGCCCTAGACAACATAGGGCCATCAGGGCGACTCAAGAATGATTCCTCAAAATTTGATCCAAATATCTCCATTATTAAAAATTTTACAGCATTTTTATTCAAAAAAGGTACAAATGTACCCGGTTATTGACCGTAGGGTTAAAGATTATTTTTCTATTCTTTTGAAAATTATTTTTTAAGCAGCGTGAGATTTTTCAAGGACTTTCCTAAGCCTGGGGTTTTAAATATTTTTTCAAGGTCTATCCGAAATGTGGTATATTTAATATAACTTTTTAAGGTCTGACTGAAACCCTGATTATTTAATTTTTTTCAGGGTCTATTCGAAGTGTGGACTATTTAAAATTATTTTTTCATAGACTATACCAAACCTTCTTTCAATTTGTTATGCCTATCCTTAGCCTGTATTTTAAAAAAGTTGTTTGTTTTTTAAAAAATATTTTTTTCAAGGTCTCTCCGAAGCGTGGATTTTTTAAAAATTATTTTTTCAATAGCCAGGCGTGGATTTTTATTCAGTTTCTATCCGAATCCTGGATCTACTCAAATTAATTTTTTTAAGGGCTATTCGAAGAGTGGATTGATTTGGATTTTTTTTATATTTTTCCAAAGATTGTCTGATTATTATCTATGGCTCAGGTCAGTAACCGAAGACAACCATTTTGTACATATAATAATACTAAAATAAAATTAATATTGAATATTAAAAATTAATATTTGAAGATTTAAAAATTGAGTATTACAATGTTAATATTCCCATGTACCCATTTTAAGTGTTTGAAAATTGTTATCTTAAAATCTAATGTGCATGGTTTGCAATAATAAAAACCAGAATAAAGTTCAACTGATAACAAGTGTATTGAGAAGAGAGTATAAAAAATATAAAAGAGGAAATAAATATAAAAACAAAAAATGTTTATTTTTTATACCTGACGTTCTTCGATTCCATTCGCATTATTTGGATCTTTGGTGGTGGGTACCGAAAATGAGCGCTGAGTTTTGAATAAAACTCTCGCATTCTTCAGTCACAACGTATTTGAACATAATTTTCAAAACATATTTTTTTCATTTCGCAGAACACAAATTAAAACCCAATGAGAGGAGTTGACAGAGGAGTAGAATGTTTTTTTAAGAGCATGCAATTAAAAATAAAATATAAAAAATTAAATTTAGAAAATTATTTCAAAAAAAGATTTGAGGGCACAATGACATGGTAGAGGTGTGATATTTAGGTGGCAGTGGTGGTGAAGACATGGAGAGAAAAACAGAATTAAATGCATTTTATTTATTTTGTTTGGTTTTTTTAATTCATGATCAATCAAATAAAATTATGTAAACACCAATTAGAGCAGGCATTATATACAAATATATTGTAAGGGGGTGGTTGGTTAATGATTGATTAAAGTATGAATTGAAAAATAATAATTATTTCCAAAAAAAGAAAGAAATGGAAATTACTTTAATTATTAGAGAGAGTATTATTACTTTCAAAAAACAGAAAAAGTTGTTTGAAAATTAAGTGGAAAAGGAAACTTGTAAATAAGCCACAATAGAATATACATATGAATTTTGAATATAGATATTGATGAGATTTTGTAAAATTATGAAGTGATTCAAGGACCAGTTTTATTAAATTGACTATTTTGGATTTTGTTATTTTTCAAATATTATTTTTCAAGGCCTGCAATGCTAAGATCTTGGAGTTTTAAATATTACTAGTCCTGCCAATGTTATCAGAAATAAAATATTAGAAACGAGAGTTTGGAAAATTTTATTTTCCAAGGACTAACTACTAACTAGAAACTAGGATTTAGTTTTCAGGACTATCAGAGATAGAAGCGAGGTTATAGTTTTCAAGGACTGTCGGAGCTGAAAATATTGATTTTTCAAGGACGGTTAGAGTTAGGTTAGGTTGAAAAGAGGGGTGGATGACCACCACTTGTCCAACAGCGGTAGGACATACACATAAGCCAGTTGATGCCTGTTGTGCGCTCTAGATAGATGGATTTTTTCAACTATTTTATTGAAGCTAAATCGGAGCTAAATTTGTAGAATTAAAAATTATATACTGTTGATTGATCGGAGAAATAAGTGTGGATTTTTAAAGACTTACACCCATCCGAAAAATAGCCAATATTATTAAAGACTATTTTGAAGGTCGGTGCTGTTAGGGTGGTTATAAAACTGGTCCCTTTGATTCTTTATCTTCATAATTTGTCATTAATTCCACTCAAATCATACGGAAGTTATATAAAAGAGAACAAAAACACTCAAATATATGTCACAATAGTATATTATTAACTTCAAAGAAGCCAAGAGGTTATATATTTTATAATAATGGTATATATTCGGTATATTATATGTGTTAAAATATATACCCCTTTATAAAATCTTACCGGTGGTGCAGGTACTTTATGATGGCGGGCAAAATTCAATGCCGATTGATCTAGGATATCCCATGATTTTTGACGTCTCGATAAAGCCATGCTGCTGCCCTGCTAAAAAAATATGTACAATATTTAAACAATTCTTTGAATTAGATCTCAGAACTTTTTTTCTTACATTTTGTGTGCCATTTGTGTTTGCGGTTTGTTCGCCAGAAGCCGTACCATTTTCTGTGGGCATTTCGGCTGGCCAACGTGGCAAAGCATGTTTGACATGACATCTTGAACGAACCTCCTCGGAGACGGCAACCAAGGCGGTTAAATATGCCACACTGTCGGGTGTCACCTCGAATTTATCACGTCTACAGGGTTTGGCAATGATGCCCAAAAGCATAGTTAAAATGCGTGAAGTCCGCGAAACTGTTGTCGGAGTGGGATGACGGAAACCCTAAAAAGAAAATGTAATATTAAGTTTAATTATCTCCCTTACAAGTTATGTTGAAATTGTGTACCTTTATCAAATGTCCAGCTAAAGCAAAATGGAAATTACTACGGAACGATAGACCGACAGCATGATCCAATTGTTTAAAATGCCATTCCAGTTTTTCTCGTGTACTCATCATTACCTCGGCTATATTGGCATTATCAAAACATCCCTGGGACTTAAGGGTGTGTAGATTTTGTTCCAACAAAGCCAAACCGGCACCATACAAATTACCCTCATCCAGTTGTAGAACAGAAATGGCAACCCAAAAAAGATTTCGGTGAATTGGAGATTCCTAAAAGAAAAAAAACATTTATTTCCAACCATCATTGCTCCTCAAAGTGTATTACTACTTACCGGTCTTAGCAACGGTTGGATACGTGTCAAACACATAACAATAGCCTCAATTAGGGTAATATCTGTAAACGACTCCACAGCCTTTACTAGTATCCTTAGCAACTGTTTCACCTCCTGATCTGTTACACTTTTACTAATACAACCAAAAACAATCAAGGCCCTTGGTTGCAGAGCCGGATTGTAACAGAATGCGAAGCTACGAGCCAATGAATTCCACGTCTGCAACCATTGACAATCGGGTACATCTCGCATGCACGACTCCATTATTTCAAGCAAAGCATCTGTGATGACTTCTAAGGACGGTAATGAAAGCCGTTCGCGATCGGGTGGCAAATTCTGTGACACCCGCTCATTTCCCAACCACTTATCGGGAGGATGACGACAACTTGAACGGAATGCTGTGACAGCAGCCGATTTCACCTTGCTAATACCGAACAGCAAATAGAATTTCGGTAGCGAGAATTCATCCAGAGATAGGCGTAACACCCGCTGGGCCTCTTCCGAGAAAATCGGCTTGGTACAGGTACACAATGAATGTATTATATTTATAACTAAACCATGAGTTGAAGCCCGCATAGACAGCGAACCGGAGCAGACTAGAAAAGTAATCGTGTGGAAAAGATAGGGCAAATGGGTGGCCACATCGAGACAATTGTTAAACGAAAGCATAAGTAAGTAGCGTCCCAATATGGCAATATCATCCCACATCATATGATGTTCCAGGTACTGAGCAGGATTTGTACAGGTTTTGTCCATCACACGGCACATGCGTGTTATCACCTTCTTCGAAACTAATTGGACATTGGCTGAGGCCAAGGCCACAGCAGTATCGGCCATTATTTCCACTTGTGGCGATCCCAGACCATAGAATATGGACTTGTGCAAGAAGTTATCCAACACCATATCTATCAATTCGGGTATTTGTCCAATGGAACCCCATATCTTCGCCTGCACCGATGGATACATTTCCTTTTGTTCAATGGTCAGACAAATGAGTTTATCCAGAATTTGTGAGACTTTCACCTTTTTGGCATCATCATTGGATTTACAGAACTTCACCAGATTCTTCAGCCATGGCGTCATGTATTCCAAACATAAATGCTTCAATTCGATGGTACTGCGTTGGAAGCCCTGTATACATTCTTCGAGAAATTCCAAAGTCAAATGGGGTTCATTGGTGGCCAGTTTCTCACTGACGGACTTGATGAAAATGGTGTTGTTGGAGGGAATGCAGAGACCCTGGGTTTCCAACAACTGTCCCTCAATTTTCAAATCAAAAGTTCCTGTCAATGCGCACAGCAAATTATAGGCAGCCGTACGCAAATTGGGATCTGCTGAACCCAAATTAAGTAATGCCATATTAAGCAGCGTTCCCGGTACATCCTTGGGTCGTATTTTCTGATGAACGGTAACCGAATCGGGTTGACTCAGCTCCCAGCGATTACGTATGTGTATAATGGCCTGGACAATATTATCGCAATCGTTGTGTATGAAACTTAATTGACCACTTTCATTGGCAATGGACAGGGTAAATTGGTTATCATCCACCAGACACACTTCTTCAATTTCCGAAGCATAGTAGACATCATTAAGCAGAACGGAATGGGCCAATACCTTGGTCTTTTCGGCGGAGGTGATTTGCAAGGCGGTAGGACCAACTTTTATCGCCACCTTGGTATCTTTGTGACTCAACTTCAAAGCATTGCTAAAGACCTTGAGATCTTCATCCAATGACAAAGTGGCTCCGGGCAATTTTTGTTGATCTGGATCAATGTAGTCATTCAATTTATTCGGCGAATCCAAAAACATTAATTTGCGATTGCCCTGAAAAGGAGAAAAAAAGGCACAATTAGTATGAGACGTTATTTCATTAAGATGCTGGAACATACCTTCAATGGTGCCAATATCCGATCATGAAATTTGGTATATTCCCTTACCCATGAATTACAATTGTAAATATACACGGCATGCACATTTTCATAGGCCACCGCCGGCAATACATAAAACCATTTTTGCAAAAACTCGGTACGGAACCGATTGTCAGAGTTAACATGGGTAAAATCTATCACCACTTCAAATGTGGAATGACAAAATGGTTTCAAGGTGAGGATGACATGATAAATCAACAGATCACCATTTGTTTCACCAATCCTGGAAGAGGGCAGGATAAGATAAAAAAATAAAAACAGAATTCTGTTCGGGAATTTTATATAGGAAATAATAGGGCATTGGGTTGGTTATTGGAAGGACTCTGAGTACGCGACACTCCTGTTACGATTTTATTTTGTAAAAAAATTAGAGGACCACAGGCTTCGATTTTTTGTTATAGAAGAAAATCATGGAACCTCAGTGTCGAACTTTTTTTCTATAGAAAAAAATCAAGGAACCTCAGTTCCGAACTTTTTTCCTATAGAAAAAAATCAGGGAACCTCAGTTTCCTATAGAAAAAAATCAAGGAACCTCAGTTCCGAACTTTTTTCCTATAGAAAAAAATCAACGATCCTCAGTTCCGAACTTTTTTCTATATGAAGAAATCGATGATCCTCAGTTCTGAACTTTTTTTCTTTAGAAATAAGTCAACGGTTCCAATTTCTATATATAAAAAATTATAACAGTTTTTTAGGTGTTGCGAACTCACTTATATCTCCTGGCTATGTAATAGAAAACAGGATAACCCGATTTACTGGTACCAGCCTGATAAAAAATGTTCATAGCCTTCAAGGCCTTGAATTCATCCTTTTCATGCATTTGATGTTTCACCATGATTTCTTCAAAATTGGTAGATGACATGTCAATTGAGCTCCAGCGGGGATACGAAGAGAACATCATGCTGTGAAGAATAAATACAAATTAAATTAACCTCTCCCGAAGGCTATATTTCAAAAGCTATATCTCAAATATTAGGTTCGGAAAATTATAAACAAATGCCCTTTGTAAAAAGTTGAACTACTTACTGCGAATCAACTGGCTTGTGTTCTGGTGGTCCCAAATAGGCCAACAGTGTGGCCATTTTATCAAAAGGTCTACGTCCCACCGCCTTGTGATCTCGACTACTTGATAAGTAGTCACCTATTTTTTCTTGATGCGTCCATAACAGACGATGTAATGCCAATACATTGGCATCCGATATAAAACTCATACTATGCGAGGTTTGATCCACCGTTTCACAATCGGAGGCAATTTGTATAAAGAAGCGACGTCCGGCCTCGAAGTGTTCACGCAAGAAGTCATTAAAACACAACATATGTTGTTCCTTGGAGAATTCCACATGATTGGCGATATTTTGCAGAATCTTGGACATTAACATGAGGCCACGTTTCACGGTACTTGGGACCTGTTTTCCAACAATACCCAGTTCTTGGGGAGAAACTAAAGAAATGAATGTAAAGAGGTTAGTAAATAAGGGGAGGAAAATTATTCTGGTTGCTCTTACCAATAGCGGGATTTATAAATCTCAGGAAAATTACAGTACCCACAGCTCCAATATTATTCTGCAGTAAATTCGGGAACCGTTTACTTAGAACCTGATATAGACAATGGCACATTGACCTCAGCTGGGGAGGAAAACGATCAGCTGAATTTGTAATGGCATCGAAGACCCTTTTGGTAAGGGCAATTAGATTGCGGCGATTCACATCTAAATCATCTCCAGGATCAAGTCTGTTTTTTTTTTAATGAAGGAAATTAATTAGGAAGTCAGTAAAATTGTTTATAAAGTCTAATAGAAAAATTCCTCACCTTGCTGGATCAACTTCAAACGAGGTAGTGGGATTATCCAGAAGTGGCCGTATCAACGGCTCCAACAGCAGTTGTAAATAGGCCGAACCATAGATTTTAAAACAAAATGCCATTATTTTACTACCCAAGGAGTTGCCACGGAATAGGGTCTGCATGCAGTCCGATACCTCCACCTCACGATAAAACATATTCCAGAGGAGAGGAGAAAGTAAATGCTTAGCATCAAATAGGGTTACCAGCACCCTTGCCAATTCATCCATTTGAGATGTTGTCACAACATTAGCCAAGGCCATGGCTATGGGCAGCTCACCCTTATCACTAATCATCGTAACCAACTGCACCAATTGTTCAAAACGATCTGCCAAGACGGTCTCAGCCAAGGTATCAAATTCTGTACCCTGCTGTAAAATTTGTGTTAGAACTTCCATGAAAGCGGCTCGAGTTTGTAAATCAGGATTATAGCCCAGATCAATGGAGTGCATAAGGCCTGAATCGATATTTGCTCCCAACAAGTTCGACATGGCCTGAATGGTGGCATTACGTAAAGCCGTTAGCTTGCCAGCAGCTAAACGGGGGCGAGGTGGTAATAGTGGGGGATTATTAAGTTCCTTTTCAGCCTCGGAACTGTCGATGCAGTCGTTAAGGAGATTCATAAATAAAGTAAAATATCTGCAAGAAATTAAAATCGATATTACTGGGATCAAAATTAATATCTCTATAGGGTACTTACTTGAGAAACAATGCACTTTTGGCATCCATCAAATCGCCACGATCCGACTCCTCAGGTTGTAAGGGCAAACCTCTAAGCAAAGCCGCCACAGCTTCCATGCAGGCTTGATCCAGGTCACGGAAAATCAAGGAGGTGCTAAAAAGATCAGAAATATTTAATTCTGAAATATCATTTCCAAGCAAATCCCCTCCTTACTTGGTTATCATTGAAGGATCTGTAGAGCTAGGCGGTGCAATTTGATGCGATGTACCCATAACCCAATCCGAAAGATATTCCACCAATTTATTACGAAATTTCATTTCCTGTCTAAATGCCAAATCGTCGCGTCGCTTCATCATAACCTCAACCAATTGGCATAGTTTGGTTTTAATGCGTATCGCATACACGGTCATATCGAGGTGGCGTACATAACGCACAATACCCAACATCATACCTTCTATACTGGTTACACCCAAATTTTCCGATGTTGATGGTTGTTCATTATTGGGATCTTTACTGGGCTTGGGATCCAAAATCGATTTCATAATATAAATGATGTGTTCGATAAATTGGGTATTGATATCGGTCACATTAACCTGACCATGTTGATCAAAAAATTTCTCAACAATTGAACGAATTTGATCAAACAATATGGGATAGAGATAGGTGGACATTTCTTCGCCAACCAGTTCCTTGACATTCTTTTGAATATTCAAACCGATTTTTTCATTGCTGCAGACCAATAATCTCAGCAATTGGCCAATGAATCTGGAGGGAGAAAAATTATTAGAATGAGGTGATAAAAATTATCTTCTCCTCCAACTTACTGTGTTACCGGACAATACTGAACTTCTTGTTGCGGTCCTTGTGGCACACCAGCCAAAGATATGCAATTTGGATTCAGCGAACCCCTACCCGAACTCGATGAACTCGATAGGGAATGCAATGAATTTTGTGCCAACGAACTTATCGAACCTCCCTGTTGTATATGAACCTGAGGTGGAATATTCTGTGGAAATGACCCGAAACTTTGTGAATAGGGATGAAAGGGTGCCTGATGGGCGAGCGATTGCTGCGAGGCTTGTGCCGCCACAACTTGTTGACGACGTTTTATTAAGCACACACCACCCAATGCCAATAGGAACCATGTCATATTTGCCCATTCGGTGATTTGTTCTTCTATATCATGTTCAGAACTTTGGTGGCTGGCACGACGTTTTCCAACACCACGATGAAATAGTTCAGCTTGGCCATCTTCGGTTTTACACTTGGGATAGGTTTGTAACATTTTACTCATGATTTCCCAATTTCTAGGGGGAGAAAGAGGATACATAGAAAGAAATTAATAAAGAGTATACAGATTTGTTAAACGTTACCTAAAAGTTTCCTCCCAAGCGGGCTGTACACCATGGACACAGTGCTCAATCTTCCTTAGAAGCTGCATGATCCTCTTCTGCAAGTGTAGGCGATTCAGGACGTTACCATGACTGTTGTCATAGAAACAAATCCGAGAGTCCGTGGCGGCTGAAAGAAGGAAGAATAACAATCGGGTTCATTAAGAATAGAAGTCTGTCTATAGTAGACTTTGAAGAGCTTCAGAGACCTTCTGCCAATAGAAGAACTTTAGAAGGTTTTCTGTCCATAATAGAGCTATGGATGAGCTTCAGAAGATATTCTGTCTATGGAAGAGCATCAGAGGTCTTATGTCTATAAAAGAGCTTCAGAAGGATATCTGAAAAGACCTTCAGAAGGGTCTTAAGATCTATAGAAGATCTTAAGAAGGTCTTTGTCCATTAATAAGATTCAGGTCTTCTGTCTATAGAAGAGCTTTAGAAGGGTTTTCTATCTATAGAAGAGCTTCTGTATATAAAATAACTTCAGAAGGTCTTCTGTCTATAGACGAACTTCAAAAGGTCTTCTGTCTATAGAAGAGCATCAAAAGATATTCTCTCTATAGAAGACCTTCAAAAGGTCTTCTGTATAGAGAAGAGGTTTAGAAGATCGTCTGTCTGTGGAAGAACATTACATTTTTTGTCTATAGAAGAACATCAGAGTGTCTTACGTCTTCTTCAGAACATCTTCTGTCTATAGAAGAGCTTCAGAAGGTCTCCTTACTTTAAGTGCCACAGACTATTTCGTATCATTTAATTCATCATCAAATCTTATTTCCTTCCTTACCAGATGACAATTGTGCCAGCTCCTGATAGATCATATAATTCGGAACCAGCATGGAAACCGTCAACTCATCCGATCCGCAGCATATTTCTGCCTCTTCACACAGCAAACCAAAACAAGACAGCGAAGTCAGCACTGCATCCAGATCCACTGACCAGAGATACATAAAAAATACCACCTCCAATTTGATATGGGCCTGTTTACATATCGCTATTTGGCTACCGACATGGGCATAATCCTTATGCCTTTGTAAGAAGGTATTACGACAAATTAAAATCTCACGTAGCCATTTGAGGACATCGGTATAATTGGCTATTTGATGTTGTATTAATTTCTGGGATATTGAAAACAACACCTGGGAACTAACATCCCAAAATGTATTAATAGGTGCTTCGGGATTCCAAACTTCGATTTTTTCGGGAGCATGTAAGGCCAACAGGGCCTCCATGGCCTCTTGGGCCACATCTGGCATGGACGGTTGATGAACCAAACTAACAAGACCATTAATGAGTTCAAGGGTTGAACTTTGTACTTCATGTGCTACTTTGCCCTGGGTCTAGAAGAAGATGGGGAAATAATTAGTTCGAATGTGAAAATATCGGATTGTGGACTTACATTTAACAATAAGGTGGGATCGGCATGTATTAAACGTACTAACAACAACAATAACATTTTATGGGCTGGGCCCTCTTCAGATTTGGCCAAACCCTTTTGGGTGTCTTTGGTTTTCAAAGTCAAAGAGGTAATCATTCTCAATGGGGTATGGGCTATATAACCCTGGGTGGCTTTATTTAAGGTGTCGGTAAATAATGCTCTCATTTCTGCGGAACGATAATGGACCACATCCGTTTGGGGCCACCATGGTAAGCGTGGTTGATTTACCACACGAAAAGGATTCTTGTTTTGTAATCTAAAATCAACATAGATGTGGGCCAACCTGCAAAAAAAAAATCAGGTATTAATTAGGATTGGTAATAATGATTTGAATCCGCCTTACCTTAACAACGAACAAACAATAACAAAGTGATAGGCCTGTGGTGAATTTAAATTCAAACAGACCTTAAGGGCCTCGATGTTATGGGGATTTATGCGAAAACAGGAAACCCAACAATCAATCATTAACTCAATGTCGGCAAAATTATAACCCTGCCCGCGAGAGAAGGGCTTAACGGGATTAAAAAGTAAAGCTTTAATGTCGTTGATAATGTATTGCACCAATTTGAAAATGACGTTGTTTGAATCGTTGATATTCACATATGTGGCAGCTTTACACAATTTTACACAGGCTATGGCCGCAGATTCGGTTACCAATTTAGAGGGTGAATGTGGCCCCAGGCCACGTTTGACACTTTCAATAAATTGTTTGGCCGAGAAATCTTTGTCACGCGATTGGGCCTTGGAGGCCATTTTGTCTTTTTCCTTTTCGCATTGCTGCAATTCATTGACGGTGGCTTCCAGACAGGCCTAGAACATAGGTAACATGATTTTATTAAAAAATATAGTGGACTCATAATATAACTACTTACCGGATTTAAGATGAGGAGCAACATTTGCAAGGGCCAAACTGTGGTTTTACTCTTTTTATTTTCTGCCTTATAGGCCTCAACAAAATCCAGTAATGGTTCCCAGCAACTGAAAAAAAAAAACAAATCAATAAAAAATTCCAACCCCTGGGGGCTTCCCACTCACGTTGATATATCCCGATTCATGCCCCTCTGTAAATCCTGAAATTCCTGTGGATGATATTCTATCCAATTCCATATGGCCTTCTCAATAGAATTTAACAAAATCAACGGTGGCGCCCGCTTTGATCGAAATTTCGTTATAGTCTCCTGCAGCAATTTCGTCAACTTCGTCATATCCATATCAATGTGTTGAATTAATTCAATATCTGAATAATCAGGATTTTCATCAGAGCATGCAGCCAACTCCTGTATACGAGCCGATATACGATTAAATACAGCTGAGAAATGATTTTGCGATAGGGCAAATAAAACTTTGGAAGCTAAAATTTTCAACTGGGCGGCATTCGGATTACTATCACTTTGGACATCGATAAATTGGGTAATTTCACGCAATAACAATTTTACATTCATAGCCTCTTCGAAACGGGCTGTATCCTTCGTCTGATTCGTTAGACATCTTTCGAGGGTAGTTAGGATAATAATAAGAGATTCAAAATAACAACGATCGGTTTCATGGCGATTTTGCATGGCCTGTAAAAAGCGAAGGGAGGAAAGATGATATTAGTGTGGGAGGGTTTTCAGATAGAGATTTTGGTCTACTTACGGCTTCATTAACTCGTTGTAACATTTTCGTTAGCCCCGATATCACCAGGGAGAAGCGATACCGTGATATGTGAATTAAACAATTCACAAGCTGGTCCTGGCTCATACGAGCCTGTGTACCATGTGGACCATTTGTTTTGTTGGGAAGCTAAAAACATAAAAATTATTTTAATAATGCAAATTTATTAGCTTTTTTGAAAGTGATTCTTAAGAATATTTAATTAATAAAGGTGTATCATATCGATGATTTTTAAAAGAGATATCCGAGCGTGGAATTTTAAAACAATTTTTAAGGAATGTTTTTCGTTGTTTTTGCAGAATATTTTTCCAAGGGGGTATATTTTTTAAGAGTTGCCAGAATGTAGAATTTTTAAAGAATAAATTTAAAGTAAAATCAAGGGCTAAACGAAAGCTGTATTCGAGGATTTTGAACGAATTCGTGGGGAATATCAGATTTATAAGAACCAATTTTGAATAAATATTATTGAGGGTTATCACATATAGAAGGGGGATTTTTATATTGGATTTTTTTTTTTTAATTTTATTTTATTTTTTTGAAAGTCATTGACCTGGATATTTAAAGAATATTTTCTCAGGGACTATACATTTTTTAAACTAGTGGTTTTTTTAGAAATATTTCTTATTTTTTAATAACAATCAACAGTTTTACACCAGCTGACTTGGTCTTCATTTCCAAAACCAAAACAACAAAATTCCCTTTAACCTGTTACAGCTGCCATTGTTGTTGTTGTTATTCCCCTATATTCAATCAGAGCGCAACAACTTTGTTTACAAACAAAAAAAAACGCGGCAGAGCAAAAGAATCGCGAGAGAGCGAGAAATAGCACCACACCACTCACACCACCAACAACAACAAAAATTTCCCAAAACACACGTGAATTTTCATTCATAAATTCTGGGATATTTCATTCATGAAATTCCCGCACTCAACAAACGTAAACAAATAATTTCCCAAAACAATAAACATTTGGATTGTGCATTTCACTCGCACACACACGCCATCACTTTCACACACAAAATACACTTTTTTCTCAATCGATTTGAGGGACGAGAAGAAGAGCTGTCATCATTTTTTCTGCTTTTTGCGTTCTTCAACTTGCTATACCAAAAAAAACTGATTTTTTGGGAGGATCCAAGAAGCAGCATTGCTGGCTGGTTGGTGCAAATATGCTGTCCAAATTACCTGATCTTCGAAACGGGCCAATAATGAATTGGCCCATTCTCCGGGTTTTTGTGTGGCCATTTTTTAGATTTATTTTTTTATTTTTGGTTTTGTGGTTTCTATAACATTTTCTATTTTTTTATATTTCAATAACGCGATTATTCACATTTAAATGATTCAACAAACAAACAATTATTACGAGTTCTCCAAAAAATAGAATATTATGAATATTAATCAACGGATGTATATATAAAGCAGATTTTTTCTTTTGCCTTCAGCAGCACCACCAATGATGCGTTTTTTCTAAAGGATTTTTTTTAGAGGTTTTCCACTAATTTTCACATTCACTTCCACTTTGCCCGTGTGCCCTGTCGAGAGCACATTTAGATTTCAGCAATTTCGTTTTGCAATTTGTACAATTTCCAATAAAATTTTAATAATTTTTCTGCAGTTGTGGTTTTTTCTATTCGAGTTGAGGAAAATGTGTGTGTATGCCTTTGCTTCTTCGTTTTTTGTTGTTGGTATCGATGACAGCTGTGCTGTGTTTGTGGACGAGGAGAGTAGTGCGAATGGTGAGCGGGCGAAATGAACTGCAGCTAACTTCGGGTCGAATGCAATCAGCTGTTCGCGGCAGTAACGTGGTGAATTTTGGAAATTTGAGGGGGAATATAGAAAGAGGGATTTTTTAAATAATTAATGTGAAGGAATTCGCTTTATTAGTACCTGAAAAAATATTTATTTACAAAAAATATTCTTTACAATCCAAGCATTTAGCTGTGGTATCCCTTGATGGAAATATTATTTGCAGACCCAAGCCTTTAGCACTGATATTCCTAAATAAAATATTTTTTAAAATCCATGCACGAATAGTCCTTAAAAAATATTTCACGTCCTAGATACAAGTTTACGGACTGTCCTTGAAAAATATGATTTAAAATATAAGATGTTCTGACGCGAATGGCTCTGATTGTCTTTGATTTTTTCCTTTCACTGCTCTTATGTTCCTTGAACAATATTTTTAAAATATTTTATAAAATAAGAGCCAAGGTATGCTCTTATATATTTTATAGATCTAATAGTCTACGAAATATTTGGTTGAAAGTACACACTAATGCCTCAAATAGTCCTTGTTTTTTTTAATTCACGATTGTGTCACCTCCGAAAAATACCCTTTTTGATGGCAGCGATAGACCTTGAAAAATACTTGTTAAAAGTCTACGCTTATGGGTCTGATAGATCTTGAACAAATATTCTTTAAAAATCCAAAAATATTCTTAAAAAAATCCAGTCTTAAGGATCTGATACTTGAAAAATATTCTTTAAAAATCCAAAAATATTCTTAAAACCAGTGAGCGGAGCAGTATAGTCGACGGGGCCGACCATACGATACCCTACACAACTACCACGGAACTTAAACTTTCTGTGGATGTTTATTCCGAGTCTTGGCAATATTTCGTGATATTTGCACCCTCATGCCCGATTAGAGGTAAACAGCACCTCTTCCTTACACTGACATATTCTCCGAATATTACGAGTATTCAGTGCAGCTATTGTCCAGATTCCCTTCACCGTGGGTTGTGTTGTGATGTTCGGCTTTCATTTGTGGTAAATATATCGACTCGAAAATAACACAAAAATTAAGTTTTCGGTCCACTTCATTCAAAAATTATTATCTGATCATCAACGAAAATTATAAGCGTTGTTGTTGTAAGTGGAACCTCATCTCTAGAGTGATAATGGGTTACTAAATAATATACGAATATAGAGATACCTGTAAATATTTAGGTGTAACTACCACATCCGAGCACATACAACAATATAATTGGTATTAATTTAAAGGTCAACCACTCCTCTTGGATATAATATCAACTTCTCGGGTCTACGTCCTTCAGGGGTAAATATATACGCTATAGAATCAAAACAGGCATGCTTATTCTGTGCCTCAATCCCCTTCTCCATGCAAAAATTCGTGGTGTTTGGGTCATAATTGCGGCCTCTGGAGCGACCAGAAAAAACGGCGAAAATAAAGTTTTTGGTCCATTTCGCCCTCTAAATATTAACTGATCTTTCCCAAACCAATAGGGGTCTTCATTGGCCAGAACCTATCCTACATGCAAAATTTCGTGAAGATTGGTCCATAACTGTGGCCTGTATCGTGTTTACAAATTATAATGGACAGACGGACGGACGGACGGACGGACACACATGTCTAGATCGACTCAGCTAGTCGAGATATGACGATCGGTATACTTAAAGGTGGGTCTAGGACCAATATTTCGCGGCGTTACAAACTTTTGGAGCTGCACAAAGCTATAATACCCTGACAACATAGTTGTGTAGGGTATAAAAATCCAGGCTTAAGGATCTGATACTTGAAACGGATCTGATACAGCTTGAACAAACATTCTTTAAAACGACGCTTATGGGTCTGATACAGGTTCAAAAAATATTCCTTAAAAATCCACGCTTATGGATCTAATACAGCTTGAAAAAATATTCCTTAAAAATTCACGATTATGGATCAGATACAGGTTAAAAAATATTCCTTAAAGATCTCCACTTATGGATCTGATGCTGCTTCAAAAAAATATTCGTTAAAAATTCACGCTTTTGGATCTTATAATGCTTGAAAGAATATTTATTAAAATCCACGCTTGAGGGTCTGATGCATCTTTGAAAATATTCCTTAAAAATCCACAATTATAGAACTGATACTGCTTGAAAAAATATTCCTTAAAAATCCACAGTTATGGAATTGGTACTGCTTTAAAAATATTCCTTAAAACTCTCAATTTATGGAACTGATACAGCTTAAAAATATATTCCTTATAAAGACACACTTTTGGATCAGATATGGCTTAAAAATATTCGTTAAATAGCCACGATTTTGGATCTGATACTGCTTAAAAAAATATTCTTTAAAAGTCCACGCTGGGGTTCTGATGCATTTTTAAAAAAAACTATTCCTTAAAATCCACAGTTATGGATCTGAAACTGCTAGAAGAAATATTCCTCATTTTTAAAAAGATATTCTTTGAAAAAAATATTCCTATGGATCCGTGGCTACAAACTTCTTGAAAAAATCACAATATCCAAGCTTTTTGTCCTCGCATTAAAAATATTATAGCCATCATTTTTATATATTTTAAAAATATTGTCATGTATACATATGGGCAATATTGCCAATTTTTTAACATAGCTGAAGCGGAGGTTCACCCCTTTATAACTCGGGAACTACTTAAGTATATGAAAAAAAGTGAATAGTTTTGGGTTAATTGATCTGTCGTTGCAAACTGCTCATGATATTGACCTCCAAACTTTATTTTGGTGGAAGCTGTGTCTACTTTAATGTAAAAAAATGTGTAAAAACACGTTGAGGCGAACCAGTTTTTTTATGTTCTCTATCGATTTGTGACTAAGCCACTCATTGCACGGTCTTCGTGTCAAAATAAAACTAGAAGCCAACAAAATGGGGACTACGACCCTTATGTATCATTTTTCAAAATTTTCACTGCATCTACCTTTAAATGATGCTGACATTTTGAAGCTCGATTTTGAGTGTTTTTTTAATTTTAATTCTAGATTTAATATGCAAACAGGAATTTCTAAAAATCGATCATAAGATTATTGTAGTCGCGAATCTGCGTCATTTGATATGTATTTTGTGTATGTAGTATGCACAGCTTCAGAGTAATACTCATCCGAAGGTGCGAATTTTGTGCGATCAAATTTCTAAAAAACCTATTTTTCGGTCCAAATTTTTAGATCTGTCAACTGAATGATATGGCTACCCGCGATCAATAAGGTTTTTTACGTTTCGGATGATATAAAATCTTCTTCGTGAAAATCCATCTATTAGAACGGCGGGAACTGGCCTTCCAAAAACACGAAATTTGGCAAAAAATGTTTTTGAAAATATCGCGGATTTATTTGCGTTTTCTGTGTATCATTTCCGCTTCAATAAATGACCTCATATGGATTTTGATCTTTTTCGAAAAGAGAACTTTAAAAACTTCAGCCGAAAGAGAGATGTACGCAATTTATCTCAAAAATAGATTTTGCTGGCACATCCATGGTTCTTAATGGACCACATTGAAATGGTATAGATCGATGTATTTTTTTAGGGTGCACACCGAAATCGGATGCGCGTTAATGGCATATGGAGTTTTTGGAAATTATTCGCGTTTTACGATTTTTTGGGTACTTCAATGCAACGTGTGGCACATCTTAGCCGTCAAATGAAATTTCGCAAAATATGCATGGATTGGAAGATAAACTTCAGTACTTCCTGGAAACCGCATGCGCATCAAATGATTTTGAGAATTACGCGATTTAGACGCAATTTATCTCAAAAATAGTGTGAGCTGGCACATCCATGGTTCTTAATGGACCACATTGAAATCGGTATAGATGGATATATTTTTTTAGGGTGCACACCGAAATCGGATGCGCGTTAATGGCATATGGAGTTTTCGGAAATTATTCGCGTTTTACGATTTTTTGGGTACTTCAATGGAACGTGTGGCACATCTTAGCCGTCAAATGAAATTTCGTAAAATATATATGGATTGGAAGATAAACTTCAGTACTTCCTGGAAACCGCATGCGCATCAAATGATTTTGAGAATTACGCGATTTACACGCAATTTAAAATGTACATTTCATAATATTATTTAATTTTAAGATTTATTCCTATTTATAGAATTCTAAGATTAATTGGAAGGGTCTTGATATAATCCGCAAGGCGTATACTTATACACAAAAAGTGATTATTATTATATATGTCAATTTTTCGGCGAAAATCGGGTAAAATAGCAGAATAACCCCAACATTTTTTTCTGAAATTTCTTGTATACAATTAAAAAAATAAATATGATGACATTATTTTTTCGAACCAAAAACAAATATTTTTCCTCAATATCTTGTTTTGTTGTCGCTGTGATTTAGAAACCGCTACTCGGACTTGTGTGATTTTGATATCATTTGATTCATCATGGTGTTTAGATTATGTAGATATTTTTAAATTATTTTTTAGGTGTGTGTATGTCATTAATATAATGAAAATATTGATGTAATCTGCTATATTTTTTTTATTTTTCTCATATTTCGCGAATATTTGCAACTTTATCGTGATTATTATAATATATTCATATTCTTATTTTACGGAGGAAGATATATATCAACGTTTTTGGTCAATATAATAAACGGCGTAATTTTAAGATTTTTTTCTTATGCCCAAAATTAAAACCTCGATAACTTTTGCGCGCATCAACCAAAAATTTGATCGCGAACGGTTTCGGAGTCAGGACATTTTTCTCTATATGTGTACCAAAAATCATAGATGTGCCACAAAAACAAAAAAGCTGATTTTTTGAAAATGGAATATTAAAAAATTGGCAATATTGCCCATATATAGTTCCCAAATACTTTAGTTATCCCAAAATAAAAAATACCCAAAATAATAAAAAATCTCAGGATTATGTTTAAAATTTGTAAAATTATATATTTTGTTTTCATATTTTCTTTTTTCTTATAAATAAAATATTTTCTTTGAAAATATTGCAGTTTTTTCTATAAATTATCACAGTTTCTTTTATAAAGCTTTGTTTTGTATAACAGTTTCAATTTTTCGTAGTAATGGAAGACATCTTTATAGGATGACGGAAGTTTTCAGCATTTAAGCTTGAGCCCAACGGTCTTGCATATAGGCAGGAACGAAGTCAGCAGCTGAGGTCCAAAAGTAGGTACCCTGCTCGGTGCGAATGAAGTGAACAGGCACTGTGGTGGTGTAATCAAATTCCTCCTCTTTTTCGTAGGATTCATTGATGTCATTTTCATATGATTCCATTGATGATTCTAGACTGGCATTGCGGCTATTTTCCAAAGATTCAAAGGATGAGTCATCAGTGGCAGCAACAGATTTCTTGGATTTGAAGATTTGTTTAAACAGCTTCTTCATGCTGCTGGAGCTTTTCTTCTGGGAAATGGTGATATCCATTTTGTTGTATTGTTGAGTTTGTGTAATTTCTACGCACATTTTGAATGTTTTTGTGAGTTTTTCTTGTAGGTCTTTAATGGAAGACAAATCAAATGTGAATGATGCTGTACCTCTGGAGAGTTTGGTCTTTTATACTCTCAGCAAGGTTGAAAAGGACTTACAGGTAAATGAAAATCTACCAGCCCCTAGACAATAGTTAGTGTTTATCTATTGTTCTTGTTGTTTGGTTTACCTTTTTCGAATCATGGGAACGTCTAGTGGAAAATAAATATTTCTCAGCAACTATTTTGAAGATAAGGATTTGAAATACACTAATTGTTGTTGTTTTTTGAAACAATTTTCTTTTGTTGTGCATGTGCAAAGGTTTTTCCAGGTAAATACCAAAATTCATTTTCAATAAAAACTAAAAAATATCACAGTTTCCCACGGCTAGGATATTCTTTAGCAATAGTTTTCAAATGCACGTGTTTCGTTGTGACGAAGAGGTTAAGGAGCTAAACCTCATTTGGCATAATCATTAGGGAACCTTCTTAATTTTTGTTTTTGTTGCCTTTACGGAAAACACTTTACTCGTGCTGTAAGCATGGGGTCGATTTGAAACAGTAGGAGTATGCAAGGTCGAACATGCTTAGTGTTTTATTTTATTTAACACACTTGTGTTTGTTTGTATAGAAACGTACTACGAAAATACCTTTCGAATTTAATCTAAATAGCAAGTGCTACACAAAATGAACACGAGATTATTGAATACCATTTCTGGAAAGATCATCCTACAAGCTTAAAACCTGAACACGTGTTAGTACAATGCATATTCAAAAATAAAAGGCTACAGACTATACTCGGTGGAAGTGTTTTGACTGGCACACAATCAGTTCATTATGCAAATGTGACTCCTCTTTTGGGTATAGTAAGCTATTTATTGCAATCACATTAAAAAAAATAGACATTTTTGGTCATCGTAAAGTACTTTGTCGGGTCGTAATAATGAAATTAGTGCAGAAATTTTAACTGTTAGGGCATGTTAAAGTAATGTTAAAGTCAAATCCATTCCACGTCCCATGAAAACAACTAAGAATATTTCGCCAACAAAATCCAGGCTAATTTATCTTCGTCGTTCTTTTGAAATGGTCATTTCACATATGCTTTACCCATTTTCGATTTTAATTTTTCAAGATTTTCAATGGGCTGGTAAATCAATACCAATGCTTGTTAAGGTTTGTAACTTTGCACATATATATTTGAAGATTTAAAAGAGATGAAAAATAATTTACAAAAAATGTTTGTTGTTGTTTTTTGTAATTAAAGAAAAGTTCTTATTTTTGATGGCGGGCATGGTAACTCCTCACTGGAACATCGAAATCCGAAAATTCCAACGGTGTTAGAAAGAGTACATGTCTGGCTCTCGTATGAACTAGGATTATTGACTTCGCTCTAAAATTAACAAAATGGCGGACCTTTAAAAAAATATTTTTGGAAAATCGCCGATTTTTTACCAAAAACCATGTTAAAAAATAAGGAAGATCTTTACCGATTAGCTTTATCCTAGTTTATGCGATAGCTATACACTCACAGAGAAACGTGTAAAAATTTGGAATCGATTGGGTTATTAATTTTTGAGTTATCGTGCCCGCCATTCGCAAAAGAGAAAAACGGGTTTAAAGTTTGAGAAGTCCTTTAGTCAAAAGTCCTGTCCTTTTTTGATATCTGGTTACAACCAATTTCGCCGCCCGATTTATTGTTTACATTATAAGGAATTTGTTCATTATTCTTTTTTATTGAGTTTTCCGACATGTCTGACCGAATTATGAACCAATTCATTGAATATAGATAGCTTTCACTACCTAAAATATCAATCAAACATTTTTTATCAATTGTTCTTTGAGAAATTTATCATGTGTTTCTATTGTGTCGTGCGCCCAGTAATCATTACATAAATGGGTTTCACATCTTAATTGAAGAGTGCGAAACGAAAATGTTCTCAACAAATTTCTTTTATATAAAAGATATCACAGTGTTCATTTTTGTTCTTGTAAGGAACAATGAAATCAATTTTGATGCTTCAAACCCCCCATGATTGTTCCGTCATTTTTCAATGATCGTACTTAAGGCACGAGTCTAAATGTATACAAAAACATTTCTTGGTTTTTTATTCTTAACTATTGGAATAACTCTCATTGAAGAAAGTTTGTCGAATAAAAAATACTTTCCCACAGCATCCATACCAATAATCATCTACCATCATAACACTACTCTATTTAATCGTTATTTTTACTAGAGTCACAGGTCGTGGGAAACATTTTACAAAATTACATTTCGATTTGTAATGTAAAGGTATTTTAATGTTCTATGGGAAACCTTTGCACGTGCACAATTTTTGAACACACAAAAAAGCAAATACAACATTAAGGATTCTTATCAGGATTTTGGATGCTCAAAAAATAAATTTTCACTAGACATTCCCACGATTTGAAAAAAGGTAAACCAAACACCGAGAACAATAGATAAACACTAACTATTGTCTAGGAGCTGGTAGATTTTCATTTACCTGCATGTCCTTTTCAACCTTGCTGAGAGTATAAAAGGCCAAACGCTCCAGAGGTACAGCATCATTCTCATTTAATTTGTCTTCCACTAAAGACCTAAACAACCTCACAAAAACATTCAAAATGTGCGTGGAAATTGCCCAAACTCAACAATACAACAAAATGACTGTCACCTTCTCCCAGAAGAAAGGCTCCAGCATGAAGAAGCTGTTCAAACAAATCTTCAAATCCAAGAAATCGGTTGCTGCCACTGATGTCTCATCCTTTGAATCTTTGGAAAATAGCCGCAATGCCAGCCTAGAATCATCAATGGAATCCTATGAAAATGACATCAATGAATCCTACGAAAAAGAGGAGGAATTTGATTACACCACCACAGTGCCTGTTCACTTTGTTCGCACCGAACAGGGTACCTACTTTTGGACCTCAGCTGCAGACTTCGTTCCTGCCTATATGCAAGATCGTTGGGCTCAAGCTTAAATGCTGAAAACTTCCACCATCCTATAAAGATACAAAATGTACAACAAAGCTTTATAAAAGAAACTGTGATAATTTAGAGAAAAAAACCTGCAATATTTTCAAAGAAAATAATTTATTTATAAGAAAAACAAAAATGAAAACAAAATATACATTTTTAAACAATTTAAACATAATCTTGAGATTTTTTATTATTTATTGGGAATCGGGGAAAACTACATATTCTGTATACATATATCCATGATATATTTTGTATGATATATTTGTATATTTTTTAAAATACATGACAATTTGACTTTTGAGTCGCGAGTTTTATAAACATTTTTTTGGTAGTCATCATACCTATATTTGTTTCAACACCTGTCAGAGCCTTTAAAGAAAATTTTCAAGCAGTGTCAAATCCATAAGCTTTGATTTTTAGGGATTTTTTTCTGATCCAGAAGCGAGTGTTTTATAAAGAATATATTTTTTTAAATTGTATCAAATCCATAAGCGATGATTGTTTAAGAATAATTAGCAGATCCATAAGGGTTGTTTTTGAATTTTGATTTTTTAAGCTTGCATTTTTTTACACAATATTTTTTTCCAAGCTAATCAGATACATTTTTTAAAGAATATTTTTTTAACCATAGATTTAATTAAAATCAAATTTAAAATCAAATTTATCAGATCCATAAGCCTGCATTTTTAAAATTATTTTTTCCAAGAGTACTTTTTCAGAATATTTTTTAACCGCAGTATCAGATCCTTAAGTGTGGATTTTTTAAAGATTATTTTCCAACCAATTTCAGAGTCATATTAGTGGATTTTGGAGTATTAGATCCATGTGATCGTAATTTCATTTAATTTTTTTTAAGTAGTATCTGAGCCATAAGAGTGGATCTTTAATCAGTATCAGAACTATTTTAATTTATATTTTTTATAGGTTTCTTTCCTAGCTAAGCAGATCAGATATAACTTAGCAGAGATCCAAACCAAAAAAGTAATTTTATGTGTTATTGGCGATAGGTGGCATTGTCGTCTTCGATCGCAAATGATCAAATGTCCTGTTCTGTTTTTTGTTGATGGATACCCATTTGTTGTATTGTAGAGGGTGTAATTTCTACGTATATATTATGAGCTGTGTAGTGGAATGTTATAAGAATGATGCTGTACTTGCTGCATTTTTTTTACATTTTCATCCCTTAGGATGCTTGCTAAGGGAATTTTGGGGAAAATAGTATCACATGCAGGTAGTTGAAATACTACCAGCTCCTAAAACAATAGTCTGTCTGTCCTTTGTTTGATTTGCTACCTTTCTGATCGTGAGAACGATCAGTGAAATCTAACAAAAAATAATCATCAATCAGACAAATAATTTGTGATCCTTTTTATTACCGTTGTAGTTGTTGTTGTCTTCTAGTGTCTGAGGTTATGTGTTAGCATGCTTGTTGTGTTTGTTTAGAATATTTTTGGGATTCCATTACAAAAGGACTTATGTGTTGCGATTTTTCGAAATGTTTCCCACGCAATTGGATAGAACCTTAATTGTACAAGTGGGGGTTGATTTTTGTTGTTTAGAGTGTGTGTGTTTAGAGTATCACTTGTGAAGCGTGATCGTTCCTGCTCATGAGTCATTTGTGAGGGGTTTCTAGAACACACGTTATGGAATGTTGTATTTTAATGTATGACACATAGTCGTGTGTTAAGCGCGAGGTGACACGAGCTTAATTTTTGGAAGGCCAAAATGTGTTGCAAAGATAAAATATATAAAAATATCAGACTCAAATTTGTAGTTTTTTTAAAGAATATTTGTCAAGACCGATAAGCATGGATTTTTAGAAATAAGTTTTCTACATCTAACCGAACCTAAAGCATGAATTTTTATACACTGAGCCTAATGTCTAATGATGGTATCTAAATATTGATGGGTGTTTAGAGAATCACTTGTGAAGCGTGATCGTTCCTGTTCATGAGTCGTTTGTGAGGGGTTTCTAGAACACAAGTTATGGAATGTTGTATTTGAATGTATGACACATAGTCGTGTGTTGAGCGCGAGGTGACACGAGCTTAATTTTTGGAAGGCCAAAATGTGTTGCAAAGATAAAATATATAAAAATATCAGACTCAAATTTGTAGTTTTTTTTTAAGAATATTTGTCAATCTATCTTAGACCGATAAGCGTGGATTTTTAGAAATAAGTTTTCTACATCTAACCGAACCTAAAGCATGCATTTTTATACCCTGAGCCTAATGTCTAATGATAGTATCTAAATATTTAAATGTACGACAAAAATGTGCCTTATCGAAATATTAGTGTTAGACCCCTTTTTTCTTTGGACAAAATCCGTTTCAGACAATTTGGGGTAGACTTACAAATACCCGTCCGTCTGTCTAGGCGAGTGGTGCACACGATATCTCTCGAAGGGAGTAAGCAATTTCGTCGAAGATGGAGAATGGCTATATCAGAGGCATAAGCGTGAATTTTTAAGAATAATTTTTCAAGTGGTATCAGAAATATATCATTTGTATTTTTAAACTCTCAATTTTACGGCTGTATAAGGTACATATTAAGTTGGGGAAAAATAAATCCATTAGGCCGGTCGTCGAAAATGTCTATAAAATCGGAGAAATGGTCGAAGTTGACCGGCATGTTAGCAGTCATAACATCGTAATAAAGCTGGATTCAAAAAGTAGCTCGATATTTGGGTGCCACACCAATTAACAGAAAAAAATAGGATGGATTGAATTTCTATCTGCGAAGCGATTGTCACTGGAGATGAGAAATGGATCACATACGATAACCAGAAACGGCCAGAATTGGCCAACAGGTGAGGTGTCGTGTTCTACCAGGACAACGTTAGGCCCCACACATCTACAGTTGTTACTCGCCAGAAACTTCGGGAGCTTGGTAATAATGAATTTCTTTTTCCCCAACAAATATCGGATAAGTTTAATTGACCCCAAATCTTTTTTTATACAATTTCCGTTTCACACATTATATAATTCCATGCAATCGGAGTATCAGCTTTGATTCCATATTTTTATTTAAATTAGATAAAGCCTGCATAGTAGGCCTATCAGCAACACCCTGTGGTACCTCGCCAACAAAGAACATAATTTTGAAAACACATAAATTTTATATCAAACTTCTAGTCTTATTAGAAGTGAATCAGCCTATTCATCTTCACACATTGATTTTCATTTCTAACCCTGTACTCTCCCTCTCCTTCTCTGAAGTCATTGTTCTTCTTACAGTTACTTCATTCAACCTTGACACACATATTGAAGCCTTACACTTGACTCCAAAAGATCAACGACATCAATAGTCGTCGAATAAGAATTATTATAAAATTCAATACACAGAATACCACACAAACGAAATCAAAGACACAAGTTGGATGATAAATAGACAGTGTCTTGAACTACCATTGAATTGATAAGGACAGCCCCCTTTCGAACAAATTTATTTTCTTACGCCATTCATAAGAACTTCAAATACCATCTAAATTGTTTTCTAAATAATGATGAGATCCTTAAAGTAGCACTAGCTTCGTTTGGCCTACCAAAGCAACAAAGTTTGTTAAGGCTCGTTCAAAAAACCAAAATAAAAATGTATCATCAAAACTATGACATAAACTAAACAGTTTATGAAGTCTATGGCTGCATTCCTATTGTCATTGCTGCGTGGGAAACATTTCGAAACCTTACTTGCATTCTTACTGTGTGTTGGCACACGTGTGCACGTAACACGTTAGAAACCAAAAACAACAACAAATTTAAAAGGGACCAATCCCTATTGTTTTTAATGGTTTATAGAAAATTTTTTGTTTCACTAGACATTCCCACGATCAGAAAGGTACACCTCAAACAATAGATAACCAGTGTCTATTGTCTCGGAGCTGGTAGATTTTCATTTACCTGCATGTCCTTTCCCACCTAGCTGAGAGTATAAAAGACCAAACGCAGCCAAGATACAGCATCATTCTCCTTCGATTTGTCTTCCACTAAAGACTCACAAACATCTCCCAAAAACATTCAAAATGTGCGTAGAAATTAAACAAACCCAACAATACAACAAAATGGATATCACCATCTCTCAAAAGAAAAGCTCCAACAGCATGAAGAAGCTGTTTAAACAAATCTTCAAATCCAAGAAAACTTTTGCTGACTCCTCGGAATCTTTGGAAAATAGCCGCAATGCCAGTCTAGAATCATCAATGGAATCCTTTGAAAATGACATCAATGAATCCTACGAGAAAGAGGAGGAATTTGATTACACCACCACAGTGCCTGTACACTTTGTTCGCACCGAACAGGGTACCTACTTTTGGACCTCTGCTGCCTACATGCAAGATCGTTGGGCCAAAGCTTAGATTTTATTACAACATGAAAGTGAAATCATCTGCAGAAGTCGTACCTGGCCAAGAAAATGCCTTCATCTGTTATACAAACGTACAACAAGAAGCTTTATAAAAACACTGTGATAGTTTAAGAAAACGCAATATTTTCCAAGAAAATAATTTATTTATAAGAAAAAAAACGAAAAATGAAAATATATTTTTACAAATTTTTAAAACTTAATTTTATTTAAAGCTTTTTAATTTGGGAATTGGGTTAATGGAGGGAATTTATGGGTATAATTGGCACAACTTCAAAATTGATTTTGGCTACCACAAACCGCATGAGATATTTACTATTATTCGGAGATATATTGCAGCCTAAGTCTGCGAAGTTCTATATTGAGCTATAGGAAGCAATTCCATAACGAATAATAACGAATTCAAATTTAATTGGTTTCAAAACCCATATAATCGGTTTTAATCATCAGCATATACAAATTTACCGCCCTCCGACGTTTCAGGTGATTTTGCGAGGTTAACATATGTTACAGTTATATCCGCACTTCTTTAAATATCTTATTTTGCAGAAAATATCCAACAATTGTTGAAACGAGATCTAAAATACTCCACGAAACATTTTACTAAAACATTTCTGGGCACAAATTTATCGCGCCAGACGTTTCAAGAGAATTTGGAGGTTAACATATATTTTAGTTATTGACAGAAAAGACCCAACAATTTTTTTTATTAAAAATCATCATATTCTAATATTTTTTTAATGTCCCGATCTTAAATATTCCATGAAACCTTTCTGAGCACGAAAAACCGAACAATTAGGGATATTACGGATATGAGCTACAAATGTAGCTACTACAATACAAAACTTCATTCGAGTTGACAGAAAATTTAATATCGTAATTTCGATACACTCACTAAAAATACTGTTGCATATGTCCCTTATTATAAACTGTAAAGCATACAGCTTGAAATTGCATGGATTTTAATTCAAATGTTTGGGCTATGGCAGATCAGACCAATCGGTATGAATCTCTGAATATACCCATCAATCGCTTTCATTACCAGGATACTGAATCTGAGCCGCTCTTCGTCACTCATTATTATAGGCTTCAGAGTGGAATTGTAACTGGATAAGCTAATATCCAAGACGTCTTTATTTTGACACATGAAAATCTGAGTAGTTTTTTTTAACATTTTATGATAGTTTCCTAACAAATATATTAATATATCAACATATAGATATATACTAAACATAGACTAGAACTATGGCTGTCCCATTGATGGCGACCAATATAAGACAATTCTAAAACCGAAGCCGCATTTTTATTCTTGTTCAGAACCCCATTCAACAACCCAATTCCAAATGAAGTCTCATATCAAATTAAGTTTTTAAAATTTTGTAAAAATATATTTTGTTTTCATTTTTTTCTTATAAATAAATAATTTTCTTGGAAAATATTGCATTTTCTTAAATTATCACAGTGTTTTATAAAGCTTGTTGTTATACGTTTGTATAACAGATGAAGGCATTTTCTTGGAAGACTTCTGCAGATGATTTCACTTTCATTTTGAGTTGAAATCTAAGCTTGGGCCCAACGGTCTTGCATATAGGCAGCTGAGGTCCAAAAGTAGGTACCATGTTCGGTGCGGACAAAGTGTACGGGAACAGTGGTGGTGTAATCAAATTCTTCCTCTTTCTCGTAGGATTCATTGATGTCATTTTCAAAGGATTCCATTGATGATTCTAGACTGGCATTGCGGCTATTTTCCAAAGATTCCGAGGAGTCAGCAACAGTTTTCTTGGATTTGAAGATTTGTTTAAACAGCTTCTTCATGCTGGCGGTGGAGCTTTTCTTCTGGGAGATGGTGATATCCATTTTGTTGTATTGTTGAGTTTGGGTAATTTCTACGCACATTTTGAATGTTTTTTTGGGAGATGTTTGTGAGTCTTTAGTGGAAGACAAATCGAATGAGAATGATGCTGTACCTTGGCATCGTTTGGTCTTTTATACTCTCAGCAAGGTTGGAAAGGATATGCAGGTAAATGAAAATCTACCAGCTTCTGAACAATAGCCACTGCTTATCTATTGTTTAGAATGTACCTTTCTGATCGTGGGAATGTCTAGTGAAACTCTAAAATTTTGTTGAATCATTAAAACAATAGGGATTAGGTCCTTTTTACGTTTGTTGTTTTTGCTATCTAACGTGTTACGTGCACACGTGTGCAGGGAGGGAATAGATCATACAAATTCCAATACAATAAGAATGCAAGTAAGGTTTAGAAATGTTTCCCACGCATAGTTGATAATAGTAAAAAGTTGCAATAAAATTCAGGATTTGGTTATGTTCTGGGTATCGTTCAGACAGTTAAGTATTATTCTGATTATTTTGAAAATTTGTTTGGTGTTACTGCCCTCAAACAAACTTTGTATTTTAAGAAGGCGAAACGAAGCTCGTGCCACTTTAGGGATTCATTGTTGTTTAGGAGACATTAAGATGGTATTTGAAGTTGTTATGAATGATGTAGGGAAAGTAAATGATTTGACGGCATATCCTTAAATATAAAATTGTTTGACTGTCTATCCACATAATCACTACACTTGTGTCTTTAATTTCTTTTGTTTAGTATTTTTTGTATTGAAGGTTATAGTGATTCCTATTCGAATAGCATGCCATTCATTCGTCATTGGAGTCAAGTGTAAGGCTTCAATGCGTGTCAAAATTGTAGGATATAGTTGCCGGTGTTCTATAAACTTCAGAAGTTCTTAAACATATGTTCTTTCTGTATTTTAATATTAACCCATTATAGATAACTCACAATTTATTAATTTTATTGTCCATTATTATTGATCAAGGATATCGAATTCCTTGATTCTTTAAATATACAAATCATTAACGCCTTTAACTGGCAATGCTTTCGAAGAGTCAGGGGATATCATAAGTTATATTCATTTTTTCCAATTGCTAAAAAATTCTGCAGAGGGTGCCCAAGATTATTGAACAAGAGATTTCTCAAGTCAGTGATCTTTGCCGGCAACACCGTCTGACACATTTTTCTTGTTAAAATTCCCCAAAAGGCAAGTTCTTTTTTTTTATTGGGCCAGATTTTTGGGTGGTAGAAACTCAACCGAAATTTTTAATATTAAAAAAAAATACGCACAGGTGAAGAAAATATTAGTGATATTAAAAATAAATTAATCACAACAACGCCCTTCTAAATTATTTCAATAATAAACAGCAACGAAGTGGCACGAGTACTATATGAATCTATCATTTTTTCCTTAAATTCAAATATCTCATCCACCCATCTTCATAAATATGATTATTAATAAGAAAATATACCCTGGGTGTTACTAGGAACACAAAATACTCAACAAATTCCTATTGTAATTGTTGCGTGGGAATGATTTCGGGAACTTAAAGATATTCTTATTGTGTTCGTATGTCTTGTATTTAAACATATTTTACTTAGGGCACGAGCAAGATTCACACTTGGGTAAATCGTTTTTATTCAAGTTTTTCCAATTTTTCAATCACATTACATTGTTCCATATTATACATCACACACCAATTAACCATAGTTTAGCTAATTTTTCCTATTGCCACTATTGCGTGGGAATCATTTCGAAACCATACTTTCATTCCTTTTGTATTGGTATTTTGGTTGTCCTGGTAAACTAAAATTATTCCTGCACACGTGCAAAACTAACACTTTAGAAGCCAAAAAGCAACAACAAACATAGAGGACCTAATCTCTATTGTTTTAAATGTTTTATAGAAATTTTCTAGTTTCATTAGACATTCCCACGATCAAAAAGGTAGATCTAAAACAATAGATAAACAGTGTCTATTGTTCAGGAGCTGGTAGATTTTTATTTACCTGCATGTCCTTTCCAACCTTGCTGAGGGTATAAAAGACCAAACGCTGCCAGGATACAGCATCATTCTCATTTGATTTGTCTTCCACTAAAGACCTAAAAAAACTCCACAACAACATTCAAAATGTGCGTAGAAATTACACAAACTCAACAATACAACAAAATGGATATCACCATCTCCCAAAAGAAAAGCTCCAGCATGAAGAAGCTGTTCAAACAAGTCTTCAAATCAAAGAAAACTGTTGCTGACTCCTCTGAATCTTTGGAAAATAGCCGTAATGCCAGTCTAGAATCATCAATGGAATCCTTTGAAAATGACATCAATGAATCCTACGAGAAAGAGGAGGAATTTGATTACACCACCACAGTGCCTGTACACTTTGTTCGCACCGAACATGGTACCTACTTTTGGACCTCTGCTGCCTATATGCAAGATCGTTGGGCTCAAGCTTAGATTTCATTACAACATGAAAGTGAAATCCTCTGCAGAAGTCTTCTTCTTTATAAAAAAACACTGTGATAATCTAAGAAAACGCAATATTTTCCAAGAAAATAGTTTATTTATAAGAAAAAACAAAAAATGAATATAAAATATAATTTTACAAATTTTTAAAACAGAATTTGAAGAGACTTTTCATTTGGTATTGGGTTATTGCTTGGGGTTCTGAAGAAGAGAAAGACATATGGCTTCTGTTTTTAGAATTGTCTAATATTGGTTCACATCCGTTGGACGGGCATATACTAAGACGTTGATATATTAATTTATATGGGATCAATCATTAAAGGATTTTAAGGAACCATTCGATATCAATTGAGACTTCTAAGCTAATTTTCGTGTATCAAGTCAGAGAGGTCTTGGATATTAGCTTATCCAATTACAATTCCACACTGAAGCCTATAACAATGAGTGACGAAGAGCGGCTCAGATTCAGTATCCTGGTAATGAAAGCGATTGATTGGTATATTCAGAGATTCATACCAATAGGTCTGATCTGCCAAAGCCCAAACGTTTGAATTATACTTCGTACAATTTCATGCTGTATGCCTTACAGTTTATGATAAGGTACATATATAACAGTATTTTTAGTGAGTGTATCGGAATTAACATATTAAATTTTCTGTCAACTCGAATGAAGTTTTGTATTGTAGTAGGTACATCTGTACCTCATATCCACAATTGTTTGTTGTTGTTTCTAATTTTGATGGTGGTTTGTCCTGAAATACGATTTTCTTGTTCAGAAATGTTTGGCGGAATATTTAAGATCGGGACATTAATATGAGAAAATATAAGCATATTATGAAGTTTTAATAAAAATTGTTGGGTGTTTTCTACCAAAGTCACTTGAAACGTCTGGCACGAGAAATTTGTGCTCAGACATGTTTTAGTAAAATGTTTCGTGAAGTATTTTAGATCGGGACATTTAAAGCAATATGTTAATATTATCCCGTTCCAATAACAATTGTTGGACCTTTTTTGCCAAATAAGACATTTTAGAAGTGTGGATATAACTCTAATATATGTTAACCTAACAAAATCACCTGAAATGTCTGAGGGCGATCAATTTGTATATGCCGATGATTTAAATATAACCATTCATTAACTAAATTTAAAATTTGTATTCTTCCTTAAGGAATTGCTTGCCATAGCTGAAAATAGAACTTCACAGACTTAGGCTGTGATATATCTCCGAAAAATAGTAAATATCTCAGGTGGTTTGTGTCAAATCAATTTTGACGACGTGGCAATTATACCCATAAATCCCCTCCATTAACCCAATTGAAAAGTCTCATATTAAATTATGTTTAAACAATTTTTAAAATTATATTTTGTTTTCATTTTTATTTTTTTTCTTATAAATAAATTATTTTCTTGGAAAATATTGCGTTGTCTTAAATTATCACAGTGTTTTTATAAAGCTTGTTGTTGTACGTTTGTATAACAGTTGAAGGCATTTTTTTTGGCCAGGTACGACTTCTGCAGATGATTTCACTTTCATGCTGTAATGAAATCTAAGCTTGGGCCCAACGATCTTGCATATATGCAGCAGAGGTCCAAAAGTAGGTACCCTGTTCTGTGCGAACAAAGTGTACAGGCACTGTGGTGGTGTAGTCGAATTCCTCCTCTTTCTCAAAGGATTCATTGATGTCATTTTCAAAGGATTCCATTGATGATTCTAGGCTGGCATTGCGGCTATTTTCCAATGATTCAGAGGAGTCAGCAACAGTTTTCCTTGATTTGAAGATTTGTTTAAACAGCTTCTTCATGCTGCTGGAGCTTTTCTTCTGGGAGATGGTGATATCCATTTTTTTGTATTGTTGAGATTGGGCAATTTCTACGCACATTTTGAATGTAGTTGTGGATTTTTTTTAGGTCTTTAGTGGAAGACAAATCGAATGAGAATGATGCTGTACCTTGGCAACGTTTCGTCTTTTATACTCTCAGCAAGTTGGAAAAAGGACATGCAGGTAAATGAAAATCTACCAGCTCCTGGACAATAGACTCTGGTTATCTATTGTTTAGAATGTACCTTTCTGATCGTGGGAATGTCTAGTGAAACTCTAAAATTTTGTTGAATCACTAACAACAATAGGGATTAGGTCCTTTGTTAAATTTGTTGTTGTACTTTGGTTCCTAACGTGTAAGATTTGCACGTGTGCACGAACAAATTTACTTTCCCAGGATAACCTACATACCAATACAATAAGAATGAAAGTAAGGTTTCGAAATGATTCCCACGCAATAGTGGCAATTGGAATGTACCAGTGAACTATGCCTTGAACCTACCACATAACAATGTGGAGGTAGTAGGTTCGAGTAATGGTAATGATATATATTAGGAGGCAAGATAATGCTTTTGAAATTGTTATTTTATGGACAAATTGAAAAAAAAAATGTTTGTGTTCAAACTCGTGTCTAATCTCAAATATATTAGAAAGCAAGACATACCAATACCATAAGAAGAGCAGTGAAGTGTCGAAAAAAATCCCAAGCGATATAATCAACTGTTAAGGATACATGTTAGAGAGGCATTGTTATA